GGGTCTCGGCAATACATTCCTCAAAGTATTCCTTTCTATTTGATTTGAATATTAATATTATAGAAATATATTTACCTGTTTTATATACAGTATATGGACTATTAATTGATTAATTCCATAAATAGTAAATCAATAAATAAATAAGTTGATTAATTTATTGATTTATTGATTGATAACTCACCTCAATTGACCAACTCTGGGAGCCCCAAGTCATTTAACAACACGACCAATGCAGATTGATAGACACAATTTATTCACCAACTTGTTGGGTTTTTTTTTTTAGAAAAGTTGACAATGTTTACATGTTGAAAATATCTGGGAAGTAACTCTATTGTTGTATTTTTAACAAATATATTTATGTTATATGCATACATTTTGTTACTTTTACACCAGTTGATAGACATTTGGGAAGAACAATAAGCCTTTAATTGATTTTGTGTGAGACTATGATGGTGTTTTTATATATATATGTTATACTTACATATCATTGCCAAGCTGTTCAAATGTGCTAAGCCCAGAAAGCAAAATTTTTCAGGAGAGAGAAAAAAAAAGTTTCATTCTTTTAATAATTGTACCTACTTTATGTATTTTTACGTGCTACTTTTTACCAGCGCGTATTCTTTGAATTTCTATTAAATATTTCTTGAGCACATGCAACCAGATTGAGAGATGTAAGTAAGATAATTTTTTTTTTTTGTAATCAAAATCTTGGACTTAATATGTCTGATCAGCTGGCTAATAATAATTGATTGATTTTCCTGTTGACCTTTTGAGCTTCAACATTCCTGGTTTCGCTGTTAGGTTGACGAAATATACACAGGGTATTGTACAAAATACTGAGGGAACATTGTGGGGGTTTTTTGTATTAACTATATGCACTATAATATTATAATATTACTTAAACCCTAATATCTTTATCGTCTCCTTTGAGATAAGACCAGCTAAACTTAGCAGAGATAATTTTACAGAAGAAGCTAAAAACTTAATTTAGTTTCATCGTCATAACGTAGCAACCTGGCAGCCATCTATATTTCTATAGTTTTTGGAGCGTTTATAGTCAAAATTCAAATCCATCTTTGACTGAGTATATGAAATAAGTAATTGATTTTACTGTGTGTTTGTCAAATTGAAAAAAGTATAGTATTATGTGAATTACCTGGTCTTATCACAGAGGCAATGATTTTTATTATATATATACATATATATATATATATTATTATTATATATATGATTATTTTTCCCCCTCTAATTGTGGTGTTTATATTCCATTAAAAGAAAGAAAATAACAGTGTATGTCTTATTGTGTGCTATTTCATTATTTTAGCAACATGATAATATAAACATGATAGATAAAAGAATTCACACAGTTATGTTTGTTAAATCATAATTGAGCAGTCGGGGCGTGATCTGTTCAGAATCTGGGTCGCGTCCTGTTTCTTCTTCCTGAACCAAGGTCTGCGAAGTCTAGTCTCTTCCTTCGCTCTCTCCTTGGCTGTCTTCGCTGGCTCCTGAAACAAACAACAGAATTTTAAAAAATAAAAAGCAAAGGTGAATGTTTGTATGCCCTCGTACCCACTTCTTTACTTTCCTTCTGTTGTGTCTGTCCGTGTGTATTACTTTTTCCCAGCACTATATGACCTTAACTTTTTCCCAGTACTGTATGACTGTGGGTGGTTAGCGGGTGCTCTGGTGTGGTTTGCTCCTTCTTTCTTATAAAAAAATCTATCGTCTCTATCTCCCCTCCTTTTTTTGTGTTTGTTACTCTCTTGTAACACCTCTAATCTTCAGCACTTATATGACCTTATTGTGTTGCGAGCGCCGTAAAACTCTTACTAAAACTTTTCTTTTCCCCAGCACTGTATGACCCTCATTGTGTCAATTTGCTTCTCTTCCCTCAAACACCCTCGTCAACATAATTCAAATACCTCCTACAAGGAGCTGATGAGAGGCCGTTCTGTGTCGGATGCGACACAGATTTTACCGTTAGACACATCTTAACCGAATGTCTAGACTTTGGAGAGATCCGAAGGAAATATTATAAATGCAAGAAATTGCAAGACATTTTTTCCGTCGTTGTTCCCAGCAGAATATTGAATTTTATGAAGGCCATTGGCCTTTATGGCAAATTGTAAAGTGAAATCGTACTATTTAAAATTTGTATTGTTACTAATAAAAGTTGTTTTAAATTGCAAATATATTTACACTGAATTTTCATATTTTAGCATTTTAAAGTCTAATAGTTAACCAATTGTGCAGTGAACTGTTGCGAAAGTAAACAACTTGTGTTTCGCGCGCTCATATGACCTTACGCAGTTGCGAGCGCCGTAAAACCCTTTACTACTACTACATTCAGATCATGTAGCAGGCAAGCCTCTGATTCTGGCTGTCAGGGTGTACCGGGGCTAAGGAAGATAGAGTCTACAACATCCCAGCATAAAGAGAAAGATGTGGGTGATTGGTGGGTGCTCTGGTGTGGCTTGTTCCTTCTTTTTTTTATCAAACATCTATCGTCCTTATCTCCCCTCCTTCTGTTTTGTGTTTGTTACTCTCTTGTACTTGTAGCACCTCTAATCTTCGGCACTCATATGACCTTATTGTGTTGTGAGCGCCGTAAAACCTTACTACAACAAAAGAGAAAGATAATTGATAAGAATACCTCCTCACTTGGGAATTGAACTACAGTCTGACGTGCTACAGTGAAGCGCCTAACCACTACACCACAGATGCCAGTAATAGGATATTTGTGTGTGTGACTAAGTAAAAGGTTCAGAAGTAGCACCACAGGCCTAGTATGAGTCTGAGAAAATGGGGAATACATATGTGAGGCAGCGTGGTGGAATCAGGCTCTCGTCAATTTTTGGGCATGTAGAGTTATTGGTATCATCTTAAAGCTTGTTCACTTGGCTTTATTTGGAAGAAAAAAGTCCTTTTATCTTGAACGCAAGTCGAGATGTTTGTAAAAGAAGGAGGTGGGGGTCATCTCTTTTCAGAGGTGAAACTACTGAGAAAATGGCCGCCAAAGATTAGTTATTTCCTTAGATTAAGAGTCCGTGGTAATTGAAAATGTACACTTTTTGCCCCATCCTCCCCTCATCCCCCCACTCACTCTCAAACTCAAAGTTCTCCATAGCCTAACAATAACCCTCAGCCCGGCGTCCATATCTCCAGCCAAAGCCTCACAGAATCTCTCTCACACTCACACTCACATTCACACGCACACACACACACTCACACACACACACACACACACACACACACACACACACACACACACACACACCACTCACTCTGAAAGTGCTCCATAGCCTGTACAATAACCCTCAGCCCGGCGTCCATATCTCCAGCCAGAGCCTCACAGAATTTCTCCAGGAACTTGGACGCCACAGAGTCGCCATCTTCCAGAGGGTTGTTCTGAGAACGTAAGAAAATAAAAAACAATAATACATTTTTAAAAGTGAAAAATAACCACGATAATGTGAACGATCAAATGGAAAACACGATTGGTCCCATCTGTAATGTTCACTCGACAGCGGATTAGTTGAAGTCGGAATAGTGAAAAGAAAAAAAAATCAACTCATCTGAAATTCAGCTTAACTTTGGGACCCGTACTGTAAAGAAAAAGAGGTGCTGGGACCCTAAAAAAGATCAACTTAATTAACCGAAGATCAACTCAAGCGAGTTCAACACAAGCAGAGTCGACGGAAGCCTTGTATTATATTTAGCGCCCCTTGCAACACTGTAAAGGTTACATTCTGAGAGGTGAAAACTCCAAATTTAACGCCCATCTCGGTAAGAAATGAGCTGAATGAGTGGAAAGCCTTAAAAACTGCCCAAAATAGCTGGCCTAGATTCAGAACACTCAGTTGGGGAGTGGAACCAGGGTCATCCGATTCGTATTCCAGTATGATACCAACTGACTAACAGTGCGCCTTTGCCCATTTTGTTTGTCGTATTCCTTCCGTGTTCTGAGCATGAGAGATAGGTGAGGCATCGTGGTGGAATCAGGCTCTCGTCAATTTTTGGGCATGTAGAGTTATTGGTATCATCTTAAAGCTTATTTACCTGTCTTTATTTGGATGAAAAGAAATATCCTTTTATCTTGAATACAAGTCGAGATATTTGCGAAAGAAGGAGGTGGGGGTCAACTGTTTTCAGAGGTAAAATTAGTGAGAAAATGGTCGCCAAAGATTAGTTATTTCCTTAGCTTAAGAGTCCGTGGTAACTGAAAATTTACATTTTTTGTGCCTTTAATCACCGTTTTTCGAAAAATACAGACAGAAATGAGTTCTTTAACGAGCATGAAAGGTGTTGAGCCCAAAAACAAAAAATTCATAAAAATTCACAAACCTGCGGAAAAAAGCAAGTTTCTTCACTTTGATTATTTTGACGAGAGCCTGATTCCACCACGCTGCCTCAAAAGTTATTCTGATTTGGGTGGTTGGGGGGTGCCACTAGAAGATCCTAGGCCTACACCTCTACTTTCCCTCTGTTGCTCCTTTCTGTCTTTCTTTCTCCACCACCAAATGACCTGCGGGTGGTTGGAGGATGCTACTGGTAGGTCCTACGTTTTATCTGTCCCTCTGTTGTTTCTTTCTGTCTGTCTGTCTGTCTGTCTGTCTGTCTGTCTGTCTGTCTGTCTGTCTGTCTGTCTGTCTGTCTGTCTGTCTTACTTTTCCCAGCACTAAACGTGAGGCAGCGTGGTGGAATCAGGCTCTCGTCAAAATAATCAAAGTGAAGAAACTTGTATTTTTCTGTTGGTTTGTGAATTTTTATCAAATTTTTGTTTTTCGGCTCAACACCTTTCATGCCCATTTAAGAACTCATTTCTGTGTGGATTTTTCTGAAAAACGTTGATTAAAGGCACAAAAATGTAAATTTTCAGTTACCACGGACTCTTAAGCTATGGAAATAACTAATCTTTGGCGGCCATTTTCTCACTAATTTTACTTCTGAAAACAAGTGACCCCCACCTCCTTCTTTTGCAAATATCTCGACTTGTATTCAAGATAAAAGGATATTAAATTTGTTTCATCTAAATAAAAACAAGGGAACAAACTTTAAGATGATACCAATAACTCTACATGCCCAAAAATTGACGAGAGCCTGATTCCACCACGCTGCCTCACAAGTGACCATTATTATTTCGATGTGCTTCGCTTTACTCAAACAAATAAACTAAAATATGACCTTTATTTTGTCGATGTGCTTCTCTTGCTCTCTTGACTCAAACCCAATCCAAATGACCTTTATAATAATATTATAGTTATGATGACAATATACTTCTCTTTTCTCAAACCAGCCGACCTACCAACCAACCAACCAACCAACCAATCAACCAACCAACCAACCAACCAACCAACCAACCAATCAACCAACCAACCAACCAATCA